TTTGAGAAATCCTTTAATGTTCGATGGCAACAATTCAGCTGTGCAAATTACCTGGGTGGACCTAGCTCCGCCTTCAAGGACGTAGCCCCTCCTCTGAGCTGCAGTTTCCAAGCTTCAGTCTCACAGAGCAGCCCTCCTCCTTCACTCCCCCATTCAGCAGCAATTAGCAAACAACTGGTAGAATTGCTGAGCTCGTCATAAGAGCTACTTCTGAGTGAAATGCTGGTAAAAATATTGTTTAAAGGGTTAATAGAGGAGCCATGTTGCGATGACATTCTAAAGGCAGAGCTTCAGAAATAGCAGGAGCTTTTAAAGAGACAGGGGCCCAATTTCAAAGTGTTAAAGTACAAAGTAAAATGTTTTTAAGTCATATTTTATATAAAGCATTTTTATAACAAATGAAGATAACATAGATACTTCTATACTTATGCTATAAAATGGCAACATGTGCTTGGAAAACACATAATACTGCACCTTTAAAGGTGGCACATTTTGCTGTCAACTGGCTAAGAAACATTGTCCCCAAAATAACAATGAATGAAGACCCAGTGTACAGTGCTGTGAAGTATCAACCAGCCAGGCCCTAAGAAAAAAACAAAACTAAACTAATTTTCTCCTCAATAAAACTGGAATTAATTGTGATGAGCCACATTTTTTCATGCTGGCTTCTGTTTCAAGGAATGAAAGTATTCAAAGAATTTTCTTTTCATTCCAATCTGCTGTTTTATGAGAACCAAACATTTGGTAAGTGATGGCTGAGTTTTGGCTAGTGACTAGAAAAAAATAGAAAGATAAACAGAATAGTTTTACGGTGAGAGCTACACAAATAAATATTCCAATTCGTCATTTTCAATTCTAATTTAAAATCACAAGGTATATTGGAATATGGAACATAATATTGTACAAATATTTGGCTGGGATTAATGTGTTAATTTCGATTAATTGATAGATTTAAAGCGTTAAGGTTTTTTTTATTAGCAGAATTAATGCAGACTTCACTGCAGGGTTCAGCTTGCTGAAAGATGGTACCAATTTCTCTCTTTGCTCTTTCCGCCTCAAAACCAAAACAAAACAAAGGACAGAAGTGTCCTTTATTTTCTCTCACTGGGAAAATTCAGTTGTTTCAGGTGAAACTCATGATTCCATGGTTTGTGACCAGAAAACAGAGATAAATGTCTGACAGCAGCGGAGAGCAGAAGCAAGGTCACAACCAGGAGCTCAAACATTGACGAGTCGTACTGGACAAATACACACAGGACTGCATTGTGACAGAAAAGGTTCTTTTCTAAATTATTTTGTCATAAAAGCTCTATTGTTTTGATCATGACTGATTTGTAAAAGCAATAAAGAGAAAAAAAATATCCATATTTTTCAGAAGCACTGTAGTAAATGTGAGCCTCACAGAGCTTATCCGTTTCTGCCCAGTTCTCAGTCGTTTCCTTGCTCTGCTGCTGTTTTTTCCTGCTGCTGATGGTTGGATGGTTTTCTATCCTCTGCATCGTCAATTTGGGGGAAAAAAAATCTAACTCTAAAAGAGAGAGACAAAACAGCACTTGTAGTTAGAAAACATATCCATGGAGATGACATGCAGGTGAGCACGCCTCCACTGCTCTGTTATTACTTGCTCAAGTTTGTGCAGTTTTAATTACAGTAATGATTTTGCTGGCACTGTTAATTTGGAGGCTATTTTAAATGAGAAACGTGATGTAGGTTATATAGGCGACATCCAACAGCATCTAAAAGGCCACTTTTTGTGCTATGGTAGAATTAGTAATTCACACACACACACATGCACACGCGCACACACACTAACACACATGCATGCACATTCCCCCAAACCCTCTCAATAACCTGTTTATGGAATTAAATTAGGGAGCAAAGTCTGAAAAATAGATGTGTCTCTACATTCCAAATCTCCCTTGAAATGAATATCAGTGTTCTCAAAGCATGTAAAATTTTCTTTTTTCATCCATTTTGATTAAATTATTGAACATTTCTGTGTAACAGGAATTGCATTAGCAGTGACAGTAATAATGGACTCAGCAAGAGAAGTTTATGCAATATTTTTTTTTCGCACAGAAACTTAAATAATAATGTGATTCCAATAAAGGAGAGGAAGTTTGGCCCGTTGGAGCTTTATGGCCCTTTTCCACAGCATGGCTCGACTCTGCTCAGCTCTACTCAGTGCAGGTGGTTTTCCTTTACAATTGAGTAACAGGTGGGGTCATCATATCATTGGGTGGCCCTAGAGTCTGAAAAATAGCGAGATGTGATCTGTATGCAACGCAACGCAACGCAACGCAACGCAACGCAACATCCTTAAAACTTCCAAACAGTTCCTGTTATAGAGTTTAGGCCTCTGGCCTGAGTCTGAGCTGAACCTTGAGCTGGAGTGGTCCAAAATGATTTGCTTTATAGCCAGGAAGGGTTCTGGCTTCTGTGGCCCATTTAATAAACCTACAATACATACAACATAGAGGAAATCAAACAAGGATGGACGATACAAAGTTGTGCTAATCTTCTTAGTACAGCCTAAATAGAGGATAGAATGAAGGAAGGCGCAGAAGTTCATTAGACTGTAACAAGCACACAGTGCTCTGCACATTAAATCCCCATGTGGCTCCGCCCCGCTGCTCTGCTTTCAGTCACACAGCCCAGATGATTTGCACTTGACTCACCCTGCGGTAACAACAAGCGACAAGATGGAGCCAGAAGACGTTAAACTTAAAGCTAAAAATGGGAGAAGGTGCACTGCTTACTCAAATTATGGTCTAAAAACAAAAGCTGTAAAATGTTAATTAAAAATATGTTGGGTTTACTTCGGGCTCAGGCCTCTAGTTAAAGTTAATTAGTGGGGATGGATCGGACTCGGACACAATGTCCACGGGTCAAACTGGAATGCTTAGGCCCGATCCAAACCGTCTTGTCAGGTTTTAGGGCAGGGAGACAGGTGGGGTAGAGTTGAGAATATTTTGGTCAATATTGGAATCATGATTGTTTAAAGTGGCTGTAAGGGAGCCACTTTCATATGTAGTACTAATTTGGATATGTATCTGGTAGTTTTCAGACCGTCTGCAGTCTGAACAGTTATACTGCATTTAATCTGACTTTATTTGTGATTTATGCCATTGAGGTGAGACATTATAATTCTGCACCAACAGACACAGTAAATCCAGATGTGAACAATGGCTGAAAATTATAACTATGAAAGAAGTCTGTGTCAGTGAAGTGCATCACATCACAATCCCACCACTCTTGGCTCTGACTACACATCCAAACAGACAAGCAGCAGTCAGTGCTCCACAACACGGCCATTGCTATTAGTTATGTTTTACTTTATTAGCTTTCTTGGTGTTGTTATGGTCTTGTGACCATACTGTCGACTCCCATTCCTGAATAACTTTAATGATGATCCACAGACAATGGCATCCATTCGTAAACCGTTCACACAGAAATCTGATTGTGGTCGCATTTAATTAGTAAGAATGGGAAAAAAAAACTGAATTCCAGCAAAAAGCTCGAACTGAGCATCAAGACCTGCTGTGTGAACGTGAGACTACTGGATCTAAAGAAAGCTTCTAATATCAGCTGCAAAAAAAAAGAAACTTTGGATGTTTGGAGCGAAAGGGAAATATGTGAGACTGGGCCGGGGCATGAGGGCAGGGAGACAGGTGGGGTAGAGTTGAGAATATTTTGGTCAATATTGGAATCATGATTGTTTAAAGTGATTATTTGCTAAATTTGGAAAAACATTGTTTGTATTAGACTTGGAGAATATTGAATGGTGTCAAATGTCCCAAACATCATACGTACAAGACCTGATGGAGCCATGTGGATGGGATGTTTTATTACACAAATGAAGCTCCAAAAGTGAAAAGAAAGAACAAAAGACTTGAGTTGGAGGCAATTGAGCTGGAGATGTTAAGGTAGTGGTTGCAAGGCAACAACCAGGATAATCTGACTGTCTGTTTGACTCTATCCTTCAGGTTGGAGTTTTTTGCTTCCCTTTGCTGACCCTCTAGCCCGGTGCGGAGGCTCAGCGTGACTTCTGCTCTCCGAAAATGTCAGCTCAACACACATGCACACACACACACACACACACACACACACACACACACACACACACACACACACACACACACATATCACACTTACGGCCACGCTAACACGGCCTTGCTTTCCAGTGCATCAAACACTTTGTTATTGCGGTTATCCCTCACTGTGATGAAAGTTCTGCTCGGTTGTTCATTCCCTCCAGAATATATTTTTCATTCTCACATTCATATGTTTGAGAGTTTTTTTTTTCTTCCCCCTCAGCAGATAGTGCTAATCAGGCATATTAATATTTAGAAGGAAAGCGTTTTGGTAATAACCATGACAAGAGCACATTACGGTTTGAGGCTGCTAAACATCAAAGGCTCATTTGAAGAAAAAAAAAATGTTTATTCAATTGTTGTTTTTCATGGGAGGGCCTGTTTTTCCCCTGTCTGTTGTCTGACCTTGTTTTCATGTGAACTCAAACCATTAACTCTGCTCTGTGTTTGGTTTTACACATAACCTTGCACATTCTGAACACTTAGTCGAGAAACTTCACCCAGCAGCCCAGTTTCTCACTGTTGTAGACCAATTAGTTTATCAGTAGTAGCATACTCTTTCCACTGCAATAACAGGGACACTCTGTTTTGATCAAAAATACATCTTTTTTTGTTGTTGTTGTTGTACAATTTCCATTATTTGATTCTATTTTTTGTTTTAATGTAAGAATGTCCTACAACAGGCAGCTGGAATATTTTATTGTTCTTCAAAGGCGGCGTGACCACCGAACATTTCGCTTAATTACGATGAAAAGCAGCTCGCTGCTGCTGCTGCTGCTGCTGCTGCTGCTGCTGCTGCTGTTAAAGCTCACTTCTATTGATGTGACTAATTGCTTTTAATATCAACACTAAGAAAAGTTTCTCCTCTTCCTCCCTCCCCCCTGCCCTGCGTTGCGGTCTGTGCAGAGTGCAAGTTCCACTGCACCAACGGGAATTGCTTGCGTCTGGGCTCGCTGATCTGCAACCAGCTGAATAACTGTGGGGACAACAGCGACGAGGAGAACTGTCCCGTGGTGACCCAGCACCCTCCACCTGGAATCTTCAACTGTAAGTGCTGCGGGATGTTGCTCCAACTCAGCTCCTCTATCTGGTACACAAATATCTTTCCTTTTTTCTTTTTTGCTGTTCGTCTCTTTTTCCTCATCTATCTGCTGTTTTACTGTCGTCTCATCTGCTGGTTGCTCTTGTCAGCCACCAGGAGACAGAAATAGTTTCTTTGTCTTAGTTTAAAAAAATAGAAATATCAAACCGAGAGTTGAAAAATCAACTCTTTATTTTCAAATTTTCCACTGTATATTTAAGAAAACAATGTAATGAATCATCAAAAATAGCTCTGGTTTATTACAGGGTAATAAATCCTTTATTAAACTGTAATAAAGAATTACAGTGTAGTCCTTTATTACACTGTAAGGATTACACTTTATTACAGAGTAATAAAGTGTAATAGATCTAATAAGTGTGATAAAGTGCAATAAAGTGTAATCTTTATTACAAATAATCCTTTAGCGTTAAATAGAGTCATATTCAAGCTGGATGATCATTCATTTCAGAAAAGATTTTTACTAACATTAAAATAATTATACGGCCATAATTCTATTTATGTTTTTTTTTCTCAGAACAAGTGTATTTTATACACCTGGTGAATGCTTTAGCTTTTTTTATTTATAGATTATTTAAAATTTCATGGGTGGAGCAGAAAATGTCCTCCAATTCTGGAATGATGCAACATAACAACAACATAACTTCTAACAAAGATGTGAAATAAGAATCCAACAAATAAACCAAGTTATACACAACAGAAAAATAAACTAATTTACCAAAAGCAAAAACCTGCACATAAAGCTGTAGAAAATGAATTCCCTTCATAGTTGTTCTGTTTTTGTTGGACTTTAATATTTTAGATTATGAAATGTTTACTTTACAAAGATAACCTGAATAATTACAAAATGTGCTTCAAAATAATGATTTGTTTATTGCAGAAGAAGAGAAAAAAATCCTGCATATCCATATTCCCATTTTAAGTGGCTGCAGCTCTGTTCCTCTTCATGCAGAGAAGACACTGACACACTCTAGGCTGTCCACATTCTAGGAAGTTTTTGCTGCTCAACAATAATCTCTATAGTAACACACACTAATGCTGGAGACCAGAAATGGAAACCTGTCATAGCTGCAGGGCTGCCTGCAGCACAATGGCTGATTTATTTATTGTTCAGAAGCAAACATAAACCAAAAACTAATTTTTACACAATATTGGGGTAGTTGGTGTAGCTTCACTTCTACTAAACAGCGATTCTTATCCAGCTCAAGCAGTTGGTTTGATAACATCTTCTACTGGCAGACTTTTCTACACGGATTAAAAATATCTCATCCTTGATAAGATTCTCTCCTCCAGCTGGCATCACGGCTGAATCCTGCTGAAAACAACCCAGAACATTTTTTCCATGCATGTTTTTCTGGTTTTTGCTTTAGCAACTACTGCTGTAATTTGCACTGAGATGCACAAAGCAAATAGATCTGTGTGATTCACTTTTGTTTCTTTTCATTTTTTTTAAAACCACAGTCTGTATCTCTTCTTGGATGGGACATGTTTGTGTTTAACTGTGCAGATCCAGCATCACAGGGATCAGAGGGTCTGTAGTTATGACACTGCTACATGTTTGGTACTGAAAATCAGAATAGATACAGTTCTCTAACTTTTGCTACATTATAAAAATGAAATAAAATATGTATGTTCTCCCTATGCTATAAATAGAAACATGTATTTAGTTGAAAAAGATGAGTGAAGGTAACCTGACGTTGGTCAAGGTCTTGGTAACACTCAATTAAATTCAAGTGAGTTTTTGGTGTATAGTGAATTACAGTTTTGACTCAAATAAATAAATAAATTGGATTTAATATATTTTTTACACAGTTATACTAACCACTCAATTTAAATACATTGAGGGCCTTTTGATGTGAAAATGTTTTTAAAATGAACTTACTTAATTTGAAGTATCGTGAAAAGGGTATGAGACAGAGAGGAAGACCTTTTTTACTTGAGACAAAAATGAGCTTTCAGATGTTTAAGGTGGAACGGCCAAAGCTTCAATTATGCACCTAGTTAATCAAGAATAAACCTGCTTTTTCTATTTATTTATCATTTACATTTACATTAAAGTGCACCAGGTTGTTTATTCATTGATGTCACGACCCCCGTTTCTCTCTGAGGGCGCAGCCTTGCATATGGCTGTGTTTGATTTACTGAAAAAAAAGTGAGCAAATTATCAGTGGTCTGTATATTTCCTATTAAAGTTTGACTAAAGAAACAAATACAAAGCAGGAGGCAGGAACTATTTCAATCAAGTAATTTTCTTTCTATAAGTAAATCATTAAAAAACGTGCCTTCAGAAAACTTTGGGGATTATTGACATATACAAAAAAAGGGTTTGGGTCCTGTTTAAGTAATTACAACATACTTATATTGATTATGTTATGAGCTATGCTCATTTAAACTGCGAAGTTAATGTTAGTTAATTTAAGGGAGCAGTATTATGTTAAATTTACTTTTTTTAAGCTTTAGATGGTGTTATGATGTCATTCCTTCATCAAAAACAAACCCGGGGTGTTGCATTGATTCTTTAATGCATGTTTGAGAAATCCTTTAATCTCAATGGCAACCATTCAACTGTGCAAAACGGCTTGGTGCAAAACGGCTCCACCTTTGAGGTGAAGCCCCTCCTCTGAGTTGCAGCTTCCAAGCTTCCACCTCACACTGCTGCCCTCGCCCACGACTCCCCCACTCAGCTCCTTCAGACTAGCGGCAGAAATTAGCAAACACCTTATGGAACTGCGCATCTGCTGAGCTCATTATAGGAGCTACTTCTCAGTGCAATACTGGTAAAAATTTTCCTAAAGGGTTCATAGAGGAGACGGATTGTGATGACTTTCTGAAGGTGAAGTTTCAGCAGGAAAGAGCCAATTTCAAGGAGTTAAATTACAAAGTCAAACTTTTTAAAATCATATTTAATATATATAATTTTCATAACAACTGAAGGTAATATAATTGCTTGATTGTGCTATAAAATACCAATGTATTTCTGAAGAATGCATATTACTGCCCCTTTAAGGGGGAAAAAGCATTTTGTTCTCTGTATTTCATGCTGTACTTGTGGATTTGTTCGTGTCGTACTATATGAGCTCGATATGAACTGTTGAGCTCCACTGTCCAGGGAACGAGCTGAGAACGTTCCCTCAGCTCGTCATGATCAATGGGAACATCAGGGGAGGGATGGAGACGGGGGGGAGGAGAGATGCAGAGACAGAGGGAAAGAGAGATAGAGATAAAGAGAGAGGGAGGGAGGGAGAGAGAGAGGGTGAAGGACACCAGTGGGCTTCTTCGATGGCTGTCTGCCAGACCACTTTGATGTGCTGCAGCAGTTGCTTTCAACAACTTTTAGGAGGAGAGGGGAAACTTTTTACAGCAGCACTTTCATCCTTGGCTTTCTGAGAGAGAGCGGTACGTGTGTGTCTGGCAGGGCTCCTTACCTTCTCCTCCATCTTTTTTCTCTCATCTCATCCTCCCTCATCCACTTCCCCCCCCTCCCCTTAAATGCTTTTCACCTCTCCAACCTTGTTTTGTGAATTCATCTATTTTTTTCCCTTCTCTTCTGTCTACCTCTCTCTCAAAGTGTAGTGAGAAACTTTCTTTTTTTTTAGTTTGTTCTTGTTTTGTTGGTGGGGTTAGGGAGTTTTGGCAGGCGTTTGATAGAGTAGGGGGGCTGGGGGGAGGGGTCATTCCTGATAAATACAACCTTGAGATGGGTACTTAAAATACTGTATTCAGGTGTCTGGGGTGAATGCTAATGTGTCTGCTGTGGGAAAAGCTGTAGAGCGATTGTAATTTTCTGAGCTGGTGCACATTTTCCTGTGATGCCTGAGAGACCCGGAGGGAGCGAGGGATGGGTGAAGAAAGAGAGAAAAGGAGAAAAGGGAGTTATTGGCTAAAAAAAAAAAAAAGCTGACAGGGTTTTGAAAAGATCGGAGACGGAGGGAGAGGAGCGATAAAAGAGAGAAGATGGAGCTAGACGTGGGATAGATGGAAAGAAAGGGGGATGAGGAGGGAAAAGAGAAGGATAATGATAGAGATGTAGCAAATGTTTGTGTGGTAATGGAGTTTGCCATCTTGTTGCTGCCGCTGGCTGTTGCCGTGGCGGTGGCAGACAGATGGATCATGAATACTGTCTAGACACACTGCAGCCTGACGCCCCACATCTCACTGCCCGCACCTCCTCTGCTCCCCACCCAGCTTATCTACCCCCCCCCCCCCACACACACACACCTGGACCCTCCAATGGAGGCAGTCACCA